TAGCGTCTCTTGTGCCATCTACTAAAATTCATTTTTGTGTTTCTTGTCGTTTAATTAAGTCTCATCTTTTTCCTGTGACTGTTCCTAAATGCTTTAAAAACTCTTATTCTTCTAGTTTTTTTCTCGTACATTAGTTCTTTGGAATTCGCTTCCTTCATCTTGCTTTCCTGATTCATATAATTTTCAATCTTTCAAGTTGTTTGTCAACCATTTTCTTGCTCTATAAACTTCATATTTTCTCTTCCAGTAACTTCCTACTCTAATAATGGTTGCATGCATTCTTGTTGGAATCGGAGATGTTGAAAAAAAAAAAAGCAATCCAACAACGCTTAGGTAGAAAATGTATTTATAACTTTAAAAGTTGGCAAAGGTTGTATAACATGCTCTATAGAAAACAAGTTTTATGTAAATTTAATTTTTTAGAAATAACATAATAGCTGCATCAGGATATCAAGGTATTGGAAAAACCTTATTATTTTACGTCACTGATAGAGAGAAGAGAGAGAGAAATGTAAAGAGCTTCTCCTTTCAAGTAAGTCTTAAAATGATAATTTTAACTTAAAAAAAACTATATAACCTTTTGAACCTTTTGAACCTTTTCAACCATTTAAAGCTGCTGATAACGTTTTTTCATCAGTCTCCATAGGTTTGTAATTTATGTCAAGGAATAAATGGCTTCTCACGTTATTAAAGAAACGTTATTTAGTGAAAGTGGTAACACCGTTTCCTTGAAGACAGCAGGTAGTAAAATAAAATTATCTATTGGATCTGGGAATACTACAAAAACAACCAATTAAACTCACAAAAGTCTTCTTTGTATTCAGAATTCTCTTTCGTTAAGTTATCATAAAATGATGAAACATGCTAATATGGTAAAGTAAAAATACAATATCAAAACAAATTTAATTCGGCACAGTGAAATGATTAAATTTTTGCAGCAAAATTTATTATTAAAAAAAGTTAATAATTACAGAGTTGTTGAAAAAAGACGCTGTTGAACCTGGACTGAAAGACTGTGTCTCTGATTTGGATAATATTTGGTATAGCTTTTTTATTTCCGAATTTTTAACAATATCCTTGAAATGAATTAAACAAAGGCCCAAGGCAAACTTACCCTGGGCGCCAAGATTATAGGGGCCAGAAGACGGAAGCCAAAAAAAATATTATGATGAGATTTTAGTTACAAAAAAGTAAAAAAATTGTTCTTATTGATGAGGTAAAAAATATATTTACTTTGTAATATGCATAGAAATAACTTTACTTTGTTTATATTACCAAAGAACTACCAAAGGGACCAAGCAGAAATAAATTTAGCCTGTTTTTATATCAATGACAATGAAGTAGACATAAGATCATACCCGAACAAATTTTTTTTAAAAAACAAACTTTGTCAGAAAAAAATAAATATATCTCATAAATGAAAAAAATTAAAAAAAGCAATTGTGTACAATCTAAAATCAAAGTCTCAACATGGATTTGTACATTACAAAGGCTGTCTTACAAATCTGATTGAATCATATAACCTTTTCTGGAAGCAGTTTTCCCTGGACACCTTGATTAAAAATTTTTTCCAATTTCGCCAAAACATTCAACACATTGTCGCACAACAACTTCTTCACAAAATTCATGCCTAGGGTATTTTAGGCCAGCTAATTAACTGGATTACAGGTTGGCTAGATAATAGACATTCGAGTGGGTTAGGATGACAAGCTGCGTCCCTGGATCAGTTACTTCATCACTGCTTCTTCATACCAGATTGCAATTAAAGCTATACCAAATTATACGCCAATGATTAGGCAAGATTAAATGAGTTATTGATGTCAATCAAATTTTTCTTCTGATTATAAAAAACTTTGGCCATCAAAAATGGCTATAGAAAGTGGCCATCAAAAACTCTATAAATTGTTCGCATAACTGCTTTGGAAATTTCAACTTTCAGAAGTGCAAAGTAATCCAAATTGGTTGTCAGAGAAACTAATTATTAACACCATGGCTGACATTGATGGTCGGGTTGATAAATAAATGCTTGGTTGTCTCATTTGATGACATTTTAATCTTGGAACATTTATAAATAATAATTCGAAAAATTACTTCTGCTGTAAACCCTAGATTTAGCTTCAACCAAAATATCAAACCATAATAAGCAGATGACTTGTTTTGGCGAAGAAACAATATTTTTTGCAAAGAAACAAATTTTGCAACAGAAATTGCAATGTACCTGGATATGCAGTTTATTTTTCCATTATGGATATAAAGTAACATTCTAAGAAATAAGAACTCAATCATTAAATTGTATAAATGCACATGCTTTTACTTTAAAACTTTTCATGCTTATAATAAGGGAGTCTACTTGCCCCTATGCTCCAGGCGTTATAAAAGCTCTTGGTTGCCCTGTATATTTTAAGTAGCAATGAAATTTTATGTTTGACTAATTACAGATTAGAAAGAGAGTTCCCCCCACTCACAATTTCTGTCAAATTTTGAAAAAGTTTTAGAAATTTAAAAAGTTTCCTCGGTAATTGTAGCTTAAATTCATTGAGAGTTCTCCTTTCTCAGTTTTTTTTTAAAGTTTTTTTACACCATTATAAAGTTGATCAATAGACTTATTTATAAATAGTGCAGTATTCCACCGGCTAGATACTTGGAGTTTTGAACTTTTATATTTTATAGATTTATATTTTAAGTTTTCTATAAATAAATTATATTTTTCTTAACATTCATCTTCACTATCCGAAATGATAGGGTCGTCATTTAAGCTTGTTAATTTCTTTGAATTGGGAATTGTTTATCAAGAATACTAAGTTCATTCACTTCTGCAATTTTTCTTAGTTTATCATAAAGATCTGCATTATCATTTGTACACAAAAACTAAAATTACGATATGATTAATGAGAAAAGTTGATATGAAGCTTAAACATGTTACAATATTTCGACATTTGTTAAGCAATATTAATGCTTTATGACATTTTTTGAGACCATCAGTAACCGTGGTTGGTTAGAAATTCATATGCTGAATTTACTATTGCATTATTAAATTCAGCACATGAGTTAAACAATGCTGATCTTTTTCAGAACCCAGGAGTCTAGAAGTCTTTAACATGTTTGCAACACTATCATAAACTTTATGCAAATGTAACTCCCCATACTGTTTTCTTAACATATCTTTAAAAACACCCTTCATAAAATCTGCAATATTTTCTGCAGCATGGTTTTCTAGTGGTGCTCAGCCTAAACTAAAACTTTTTCTACCCCATGCACCTATTATTACTGAAAACTGTACACCAATAAATGATAGTTTTTTGTATTTTTCAGTCCAGACATCAAAGAGTAAGGAAGAATTATTTGAGCATTTCAAAACATTCTTTACACTGGTCTTGACTGCTTTGAACATATTAAAGCTCCGCATGTCAAAGATAAACGTGATGGAGTGACTATACCAATGTTTTTTTTTTTTAAAACGTGTTACGGTTCTTTCTACACGGTTTAGTGACAACAAATCGGTACAAAATGAAAGTGCAATGTTACGAATAATATCAAATGTTACTTTTGTGCTGCACTCATTTCTTAATATATTGTTGTTTTTTTCTACGCTAGACATTTTATCATTGACAATTTTGTGTACTAAAAACAAATAATTTTTCATGTTTCCACTAGTAGTTTAACGTTTTACTGAATAAAATTTAAACAAGTGGGAAGGCTTGTTATTATCTAATTTGACTTTTTCAATATCCAAACACAATTTGCTGTAATAATTATTTTCATCTAAATTTTGACCATTTTGTTGTTTGACCAATTGTTTTACATCAATTTCTATAGAAATTAATAAAATTTTTATAAATATTCTATAGAATTTCTAAAGGCCATTTGTTTCTAAAGTTTAAAGAAACTCTATAGAACTTTTTTTCCTTGGCATATTTTCGGGGGCGGTAAGACTTTAATCAAAGTAGCGGCAAATCGTGGCTATTAGTAAACAACCGGCGGTTACTGACCGTAAACAAAATTGGCGGAGGCGACCGAATAGTGGTGGCTAGCAATTCTATATATACTTGTTTATTTTTTTTAATTAGAAACTTATATTAGATTTAAAAAAATTATAGATGTTAATATATATAATACATTTTAGATGTACAAAGAATTTTTTCTTCCCAAGTTTTTGAGTTAGATACGACGTCAAAAGTTTCTGAGATAAATTTACGTGAATACTTTAAAAAAATAATATTAAATAAATTTAAAAGCTTCAGAATTTCTATTTTGGCTTAAAAAATTTTCGTGTATTTATTTTAGTTTCTTTACAAAATACTTAATTAATAAAATTAGTTTTTTTCTAAAGTTTTCTTGCCTTAGCCAGATCGTTTTCTTTTTCTTGCCAGTTTAATAATTGGACATTATTGTCTTCGGTTTGTCTTCAAATTTCCCAATCCAATATGATCTTTCTATGATAATAAATGAATTGATTTGAAGATCCTTTTTTATAAAAGTTTTCACTCTTTTATTACAATTTTATTATATTTTTCATTGAACTCTTCTTCAATAATCACAAATCACAAGTTTTTTCTACTGTCGTTATCTTCTAATAAGGCTGGTTTTATTTTGTTCCCGTTTGTGTCACCGGTTGCTTTTTTTAATACTGATTTTAATCCGATTAATAAAACTTTTATCACGTTAACTTTTTTAGTAACTTTGTTGAAGTTTATCTTTGATTGATCACGATATATATAATTAATTAATAATAAAAATATAATATATGTTAAATTTATAACACTTTTAATATTTAGCTACATTTATAATAATTATTAGTATTATATTTATAATAATTAAATATGTTGTTTGAATTTAAAAAAAACTTTTTTTTAAATGCTTAGCAAATGGCTTTCATTTACACAGCTCTATTTTACAAAACAATTGTTAATTTAACCGTTGTTAAATTATATATAAAATTATAAATTAGTTAAATTAAAAAAAAATAATCTAAAAATTCAGATTTTTCAAAATGTTTTTAGACAACGATATATATTGCAAACCTCTATTGAAAGTGTCATTTGATGGAATACTAGATGAGTAAGTTTGATGATAGTTATTAGACTTATATTGTGAAGGTTTCTTCTATTACGGAGGTTTTTAAGGGGACTGTTATATTTATATTTCTACATACATACATACATAGATACATACATACATACATACATACATACATACATACATACATACATACATACATACATACATACATACATACATACATACATACATACATACATACATACATACATACATATATACATACATACATACATACATACATACATACATACATACATACATACATACATACATACATACATACATACATACATACATACATACATACATACATACATACATACATACATACATACATACATACATACATACATACATACATACATATATACATACATACATACATACATACATTCATACATACATACATACATATATATATATATATATATATATATATATATATATATATATATATAAATATATATATATATATATATATATATATATATATATATATATATATATATATATATATATATATATATATATATATATATATATATATATATATATATATATATATATATATATACAGAGCCGTAACTAAATTTTTGATATCTGTTGTTGTTGTATTAGCCGTAACTAAATTTTTGAATCTGTTGTTGTTGTTGATCGAATGTAGGTTTTAACTTTTTTTAAATCGGAGGAAGATCTTTCACTTAGAGTATTAGTAGCGAGCATGACAAGAATTAGTTTACAACTTCGATAAGTAAAGCTCTTTTAGAGTGATCCAAACTCAAAAAAAAACAAGATGAAATCTTCGAAAGTGAATTTAATTGATGTCGTAACTAGGGTTGTACTGTCGTAACGTTGTTGTATGTTTCGGATGGCTATACTGTAGTTTCAGCTTGGAAGGATGAGAGCCGCTGGATAAGGTGGACAATTATATTTACCAAAGCAGTTTTAGTTAGCCAATATAATATCTCAACCAAAATTATTTTGGGTTTGATAACCTTTATAAAGAAATTGTATGGCTACTGTCCACCTTGTTTAAAAAAGTTTATAGATAGACTTTGAATTGTTTTCCGTTAGTTCTCTAATAGCATTAAGCTTGGAATTTCTTTTAGGCAATTTTTTTCATAAGATTGCAAATATATATATATATTACAAATCATATGCTGTTCCAAAGGTTTCGTTCCAAAGGGGTACACCTTTCATGGTACATTTTCTTTACAATTTTCACAGCTTAGATTATTTGATGATTTTGTTGCATGTTTGCATACTGTGCAGGCATTTTTTATATTTACATTTTGAGTTCTGCCCCAGAAGAAAGTTTTTTAAAAAGAATTCATAGCTTGCTTATTAGATTATGTTGATACTAAAAATGGTTTTGACTTGATGAAATAATCCTGATAACAAATACCTTTAACACTAAAATCAAATATCGTATCCTCTATCCCTCCCCCCCTTTCCTGGATCCGACACTCATTTGGCAAAATGATTTTTTTTTTTTGAACATTATATTTTGCTGTTGAAGTTGAAGAAATCATACAACCTACATAAATTTACAAATATAATTAATGGCTAGAGCAAGAAGAAGACATTATTTTTGTCGCCAAGCAGTGTGTTACAATATATATTTTTTACAAAATTCTTTCTAAGAGTATAAAGTATAAACTAAGAAATAAGATAATACATAAGTAATAACATTAAAATAAGATCGTCTGAATTAAAAAAAAAGAAAAGAAAAAAAAAAGGAAAACTGAAAAAATGTAATTAATGATAATGAATCATATCAGTAAGTATTTAGTTTTTAAACTTTCAGGGTAATTAAATTTAAGACTACCTTTTATTAACTACATTGAATTTTAGTTGATGTAGTGTTTTATATGATTTTATTTTATTGACATATTTAAAAAAAACAAGATAGATCAACACCTGTGTATAATAAACACAGCTTTGATTTAATTATAAACTCAGTTTTGAATAAGATTTTGGTATAATAAAGTTGTTTATGGAAAATCTTGTAGAATAATTGTGGTATATTTTTTCAAAAAAAATTTTAAATTTTTTTGGAGACGGTCCACATTGTGTTTTACACATGAACTGTAAAACTAGATGGATGTTAAGTTTGAGAATATATTTAAGGCACTAAGTCTTTTTTTTGAACCATTCATAATGATATTTGTACGTGTCTAAATGATGACCTGACCCCAGGTTTTCTTGTATGATTGCATAAGGTGCTGTTAAATCCATCAACCAAGATGTTATTAAAATATATTTCATTTACTATAATTAAGGAGAATTACCATACTGAATAACAGTTGATTACCTCCTTTTTATTTTTTATACTATCTATAATCTACTATGCTTGAATACTGTGTACCAGTTTGGAATCCACTTTTTAGGAAAGACATTAAACAGCTTGAACAGTTACGAAGGCGTGCTACTAAGTTACTGCCGAAGTTTGGAACCTGAATTATAAATTACGTCTGACTAAATTGGGTCTATTAACTTTATAAGAACTCAGAATAAGAGGCAACTTTTTAATATTTCCAAGAACTTTAATATAGTTTGGTGGCAAACCCTTGTCTGAGTCCATTAACAGCCAACAGTCCAGTTGGTGGTCTATGCGGTACGGAATACAGAGTTTATAAAAAGATTAGTTATAATTTACTGAGGCATAACTTTTTAACCAATTGTGTAGCACTATTATTTGACCATTTTACCAGATTTCGTTGCTGCTTCAGAGTTGGTTGATCAATTTAAAAATAACTGACAAATAGTTATTAAAAATAATGACAAATAGTTTAGTTCAATTGTTCGTTGGTCTACTATGAGCTGGGTTTCGATTCTTAGCTCATACTATAGCTGGGTCTCGATTCCCAGCTCATAGAAGTTTCAAACATATTTAACATTAAATAAAAATCTTTTTCTTCAGTCTCACAATTATTAACTTTTGGATTCCATTTCCACCAAGATTAAAACTCAATCACAAATTTTTTGCTTTGAAATGTTTTGATATTTTTATGACTCATAATCCAAAATTTATGACGTTTTCTATCAATTTTTTTTTGAGTAGTTAAATAATTTCTTTATTTACTAATTAGCTAGTAATTCTTTAATTAACTTCTGACAGTGGTTAAAATTTGCTCCTAATTTATGTTCAGTTACATTAATTGCAAAAATAGCAACAACAGAAACTTTAAAAAACGAATTTAGAGTGATCCGCGAAAGTTTACTTTAAGAAAGTAATACAACTACATTTTTAAGAAAGTAATACAACTGCAACTTTAAAAAAGTAATACAGCTACAACTTTAAGAAAGTAATACAATTTTCCAACAATCAGACAGAAGCTCAAGCTTGGCAGATTCAACAAAATTTAAAATGCAATTTGAATCTTATATAGAAGAACCAGCCCAATTATGACAACAGGTTATCTAGGTTTCAGACAAAATTAATTTTTTTGCAACTTAAGATTCGTTTTAATTGTATTTGCACAATGTTTAAATGTGTTTTCAATACCTTTAATTGTGTTTACACTATGTTTAAGTGTGTTCGTAATATCTTTAAACGGCTTTGCAGCAACAATTTAGAAACCTAACACGACATTTATCTTTCAATAAAATTGTTATTGTTATACATAGTAAATTTCCTATCTAGTTATTAAGTGGTATTGTAGTTTATCCTCCTCGAACTAGTTGTCATATAGATGTCACATACCAAGGCCCGCGAAGACAATTTTAGCTCACTAAAGAGCATCATAACCTGCTTCAACGGACCAAAAGTAAGTGAGTTCCAAAAGAACAAAAAACATTAGAGTGAAAGTCAAAAGAAGTTGAGTTAGAAAGATAGCATTGAGCTGGATGTTAAAATGAGCAAAATATACAATTAATCAGATATAACTAATTAAAGTATTCAGTCATACAATAACTAGTTAAAACTAATTAATGTATTGTGTATTAGTTAATGTATAATGTATTAATTAGTTATTAAGTTCGGTTATTGAAATTATTAAATACAGTTCAAAAACTATTGAATCCAGTTCGCAAACTATTGAATCCAGTTCAGTTATGGTTATATGTTTTATTATTGTTATGTAGTATGAAAATTGAAATAAAAAACGTATTTAAATTCTTTTTTAACTTTAGAAAGATGTTTAACCTTTCGCTTCAAATTATTTACGCATACGAACCAGGAGAAATGGCTGTAAATGTGACATGGGAGTATGTGTTGCCTTCCTACCTTAAAGTAACATCAGAGTCTGCTTCTAATAGTGTTGTTAAAGTTGATTCCAAAAATCTCAAGTTTAGAGTAGGATTTTGAATAAACTCTTTGTTCCATTTTTTATTTAGTGACTGAATAATTTTATATAACAATAGAACAATTATACTTTCATTTTTTAGGTTCCTTTTGGATTATCAAATATTGGCATCAATCAAAGCATAATTACAGCGTTTAATATGAGCTGCACATTTAGTTACAAAACCATAGAGATTCCAATTAAATTATATTTTGAAAATAGCGCAGGAAAGTCTTGGAACTTATTTAAAACAATAAAAAAAGATATAACAAAAAACTGTAAAAGTCAAATAATCCCGACCAACCCAAGTTCCTTACTAGGTTAGATTTTGTTGATGATAATGATGATGATAATGATAATGATGAAGATGATGATGATGATGATGATGATGATGATGATGATGATGATGATGATGATGATGATGATGATGATGATGATGATGATGATGATGATGATGATGATGATGGTAATGATGATGATGAGGATGATGAGGATGAGAATGATGATGGTGTGGATGAGAATGAAGATGATGATGATAAGAATAATGGTGATAAGGGTGAGGATGGTGTGGATGAATATGAGGATGATATGGCCACTATTCAGCCTAAACTACTTTAAAAAGTCCATATATTCTATATATGCCATAGACCTATCAAGTGCTATGAACTGTATGGAATGGTGATTTGAAATTAAGTGTCTAAAATGTAGCACATTTTTATGCAAGGAAAAATATTTTCTTCCATGCAAGGAAAATATTTCCTTCAGATGAGTTAATACCCTATTAACCTTACTAGATCTAGTTCTTTAATTTGTAACAATGAATCCAACTATCATTACAATTTGATTTTTTTCTCCATGAATCTACAAGATATAAAGCTCAAATTCAATTTATTTATTGTCTATATTTACTTAAAATATAGACAAATGTTGAAGATCAAATGTTAAATTAGCCATTTTTTAGTAACTTGATCATATGTGATCAAAACTTAAAAGAAAACAGAACTACAGATGTCTCAGTAGAAAATGCTTCAAATCGAAGATTTTAAGCATCTCCTACTGCGATTTTAAGCGTTGTGTCGGCTTTTAAACAAAGTATTGTATTGAGACTAAGTTACCATAGAGATTACAGTTTCCAATTCTAAAAAAACCAATATCCACTAAGAATTCTTTTACAGGTAAATGATTAAATAATAAAATAAATCTGCAAAAAATAAAAAGTTTATACTTTAATAAAATGTTTTGTTTACAATACTAGAATTGTAAGATTTTCTATCTGTTTTTAATTAAAACACTGAAATTAAGATTTTCTATCTGTTTTAAATTAAAACACTCAAGTTTTAAGGTTTTCTATCTGTTTTAAATTAAAACACTCAAATTTTAAGGTTTTCTATCTGTTTTAAATTAAAACGCTCAAATTTTAAGGTTTTCTATCTGTTTTAAATTAAAGACATTAACATCAGAAGACATTAAGATTATTGTCAGATATAGAAATAAAATAAAATCATGTTCAATAATAAGTTAAGTGAGGTAAAATTTTAATTAAGTGAGGTAAAATTTGAACAAACAAAATATGAGTTCATTTTACTCTGAAAGATGCAGGCCCGTAGCAACAGAGGGGAGGGCAGCAGGAGCATTTGCCCCCAATAATTTTTTAAATAAATAATTTTGAGAGAATTGACTGAAAAAATGACAATGAAAAAAAACATTTTTTTAATTAATTGTGGGCCTCTAAATACAGCACTGCTCCCCTCCCCCTATATAATTTTTTTTTCTACGGGCCTGAGATGTCAATATTATCAGCATTAACAACATTGAACGGTAAATGGTTCAATATGTTTCAACCAGAAAATATTTGCAAATATCAAGTTTTAATTTAAATTGCTAGTCAACCATTCAATAGTGTTGTTTTTGAAACTATATTTTTTAATTTTTTTTAATAAAAACTTTGTGATAAAAAGTATTAAAGGCTTTTTTTAGGTCAATCAAATTTTTAATACAAACTTATCAAAAGATATACTAAGTTTTAGGCGTGCTAAAGGCGTACTAGATGTACTAAATCTAAGACACTAAATCTAAACCTTTTTTTTAGTGTTTGAGATAACATGAGACATAAAGTAATCTCCAAAAATTGATATGTATACTTATTTCAAATAAAAATACTTCCAAAAAATATTGCAGTTATTTAAGCTTGGGAACAAAAATCCCTCAAATTTAAACTCTCAAAATTTTTATAGTCATAATATTTTAATGATCTCACGTTTTATATATGTAAATTTTATTTCATAATCCTAGAATATTACGGCAGAGGTATATATTGGGACGATGTTGATTCTCAAATATATTTATGTATGAACCAGCACGTTACAAGGTAATAAAATTATTTTATTTAATATTAATATTAATGTCTAAATATTTAATGAAGCGATATATATATATATATATATATATATATATATATATATATTATATATATATATATATATATATATATATATATATATATATATATATATATATATATATATATATATATATATATATATATATATACATAGGAAAAATGAATCATGGCTGTATTTTTCATTTTTCTTGTAAAACGTCTTATTTTCTACGCTTTATCATATTTTGAAAGTTATTCCTCAACAAATGCATTCGCACCATTGATTTAAAGTATTTTTGCATCATTTTTTTTTGGTGATCTATTTTTGTGTTTATACAGTATTGATTGCACTGGATTTTGTTTAATTTGATGGAATATATAAAGCCAAATAACAATATAAACTTGTTTTATAAGTTGCTGCAAGCATAATATTGCAGTGACATATAATAAAGTAGTCTAAAGTTTGCTTGGAACTATGAAGTTTTCCTTACTTTTAGGTTCAGGTTTATTCATTCATGGTCAAAAATAATTTTTTTTTGACAAAGAGTGGCACACCAGACTTCTCTGTTATAAAAATACAGTTTTTCAATTTCAGCTTAAGTGAAGATGCCGTCATTTAAAATTGTTCAAGTTCTTTGCGTCCACCGCATTTTGTAATAAAGAATTCCATAATCTTACGATACGGTTGGTGAAGAAGTTGCTTCTATCGGCGCAGTTTCGGAGAAGTTGTGCTCTTAGTTCTTTAGTGTGTCACGCGGCCGAAAACTGTACTTTGAAGTTTCCGTGTTAGGTTGAAGTTGAGGGACGTGAATGTTAACTTTATCAATTTTGTTTATGATTTTATATTGTTCGATAACGTCTCCTTTTTCTCGTCGTTCAGTTATTGTTGTCAGGTTAAGGTTTGATAGTCTTTGAGTATACGAAAGGTGTTTAAGGGAGGCAATATGTTTTGTGGCTCGATGTTGAACTTGCTCAAGTTTGGCAAAGTCTTAAGCTAAAAATGTTGACCAGGCCTGTACTGCGAATTCTAGGTGTGGGCGAACGTACGAAATGTACAGTGTGCGCTATAATGCAGAACCTCGACCTCGAAAAGCCTTCTTGAACCTGCCAAGCATTCGGTCGCCAGCTGATGCAGCCGCACTGACTTGTTTTTTAACTTTTAGATCGCTCGTTATAAAAACGTCTAGGTCTCGTTCAGATGATGTGCATGATAGCTTGTGCAGTTGGCCGTTCAGGTTATCATTGCATAAATTGAAGTCGATTTTTTTTTGTTGCTGCACCCGCTGTGCATAACTTTGCACTTGTCGACATTAAATGACATAAGCCATGTGTGCGACCATTTTACTGCTTTGTTGATATCGGCTTGGAGTTTTATGATGTCATGATTTGTCATTACTTTATCAGTATTGTATGTCATGATATGTATGTTATGGTATGTCATTACTTAATCACTAATAAAATCAAAGGGTTGTAGAAATAGTTCAGGTGCAACTTAAAATTACTTAGTAATAACCATAAACCTTAAAAATAATATTTTATTTAGTGATTTTTAAGTAATAAGTTAAGAGAACGGCATTTGTTGATTTTACTGGGTTTTTTTAAAAAGAAACAACCTTTTCTGATTAAGGAATCAAATTGTTCCAATTTAGAGAACCAGTTGCCTTGATTGAAACAAAATGGTATCATTTCAAAAACATTTGTTTTATTTTAGTATAGTAGGGTTGTCTATTTGTATTAATCAAATCATATATGTTTTCATAGTTAAGCCATCTTTGGTTAATAAATATTTATTCTTAAGTGTTCCAATTGAGGAAACTCTAAATACCTTAAGGATCTCACTTACATCTGTACGCCTATGTTGTATTCGAAGAACTAGAGATATATGCAACTTTTGACTTATAACGCTACTAACACCTTCAAGATTTTTAAGATAAAAGTTATTGTAACATCGGTTGTAAACAAAAATAGCATCCCGACGGCAAAGGACCTCATCTTCCATGCAGTCTTTTATTAGTTAGTTTTATAGAGTTTTATTATTTGCTTCCTAAATTCAGCCGCAACATACTTCTGCAATAAAGTCTGCAAGATATCGTTTTTTTGTGTGTGATTGTCTAAACTTTGCGATTAATTTTCGTACCTTTTTGATAATTAGACTGCAACTTATCTATGTTTAACCAAAAAAGATTTGTAAAAAAATCCAGGGAATAATTGCTTAATCCCGGGATTTTGGGATTGTTAAAAAATGCGGAATTTTGGTTCACATTTTGAAAAAAACAAACAAAAAAAACCTTTTAATCTGGAAATTTGTTTAATAGAAATCATAAAGCTTGTCTGTTATGCTAAAACGTTAACAGAGATTATACTGGACCCCGTGACCATTTCTTGATAACAATTTAAATAAAAGAAAGATTGATAACATTTATAAAGTACTTTTTCGACAATTCAAAAACAGCGATTCTTAATAATAACTTGTATAATTTTAAGATGACAAATCTTATTCTGTTCTGTAAAATATGTATCAACAATACACCCTACAACTTAATCGATGGTTTTTTTAATCTTAAGAAAAACTCAAAATGTTTATCATTTTCTAAATAAGATACTCCAACAAGCAACAAAAGGTTTAATACTTATGTGGCAAAAACAAAAAATTAATCTAGAGAGTTTCAAAACACTTGAACCAAAGGGTTCAACACTTTATGCTGTTGCATATTTAAAGCAATTTACGTTCAAGAGTTGCACATTAAAATTTGGTTTTAAAACAGCATCACAGCGACGAGAGATTGGATCTACACATTTAATGAAAACATCCCAAGGAATGTTATACCAACAATCTTTAATCAATACAAATAAATGGTCTTTGTTGGTCGTTTTTCTACCAACTAATTGCAGGGCTATGTACTCCCAAAGATGCTCAATAGGATTGAGATCTGGCCTTTCAAGAACTTTGGTTTTTTGTAATTTAAAACTTTCCTTAACTGATCTGACACAATGTTTTCGATCATTATCTTGTTGTAAGATCCATTTGCGAGTCATTTTATGCTTTGCATGCATAACATTCTTATGATGTCTAAATAAACTCTGTGGTCCATAATACCCATCTATGTGATAAAAAGGACCCACATTGTCATAAATCAACATTGCAATCAACATTGAAAATTGCCGTGGCCAGTCATATGACAATGCCAATAATATGTCTGGAATCTATTTTGGTTTACAAACAAGAATGAAAGAGTTCTCAACGTTCAACGAGATCAACGTTCTCGCTATAACATCTTTTCTGTATCAACGCATCGATGTCATAAAGTCAAAGTTCCTTGCATCAACTCATCAACGCATCTTAAAGTCAAAGTTCCTGGCTGGAATACGTGTTAAGGTTCCCTAGACTCTCTCGCAAACTCGTTGGTCAGCATATGCTGATGGTTGTTTAGCAATTGATATATATATATATATATATATATATATATATATATATATATATACATCTAGCAATTACTTGCTTTAGGCGCTTTTCTTAGAAAAACACGTCATTTAGTGACTTGTTTTTTTGCATAGCAGTGAATGTAACATCGAGTATAATTTAGCGATGAATCATCTACATCTTCTAATTAAACACCAATTTATGAATTTTCTGTTGATCAAAATAATGCTGTGGTCTGGTTAGTTGTTCTCCACCTATACAAATTGAAACCCGTTCTAAAAAGACAATAAAAAGAAATAAGCAACTTATAGATAATATATTATATTATATTATATTATAGATATAGATTATAATTGATTGGATTAAAAATTGATGGAAAAAGTCATTTAGATTTTAATAATTTCTGAGGACAAACAGATGATTATAACAATGTTATAATTATCTATTTGTCCTTGGTCTAAATCTGGTTTCTTAATTAAAAACCTAATGCTGATGAGACAAACGAACTTTTAGATGTCCTTCATTGATACTAACGCGTGCAATAGATTAAATAAGATTCAACTTTCTGAAAAACCACACTTTGATTACTCGCATAGTTAGATCAGTAAAATAAATAACATTGTTTTTCAAAAAGTTTTTATCAATTTCTTAAGTTGCTTTATTTAAGATTTTAAAACGTCAAGTAACTTTATCTCTTGATTTGTCATTATTTGGCACTGTGTCATTATCTATCACGTGTTATCCTGTGTTCTTAATCTTTTTACATTTTTTCTTACCTGCTTCATTATTCTCAAAAAATGGCACGATCTGGAAGATTTTGATTTTATTTACAAGTTTATGATGGTTTCTCTTCTTATCTGTTCTATTCTCTTCTTATCTGTTCTATTCTCTTCTTATCTGTTCTATTCTCTGCTTATCTGTTTTAAAAGTTAATGTTCTCACTTTAACAGAATAGGTGCTTCCACTTGACAAAAAATGCGCTTATTGCAATTTTAATATTTAATATACCATGCTGAAAATACTTCAGTTAAAATTCGATTCTTTAAATAATTAAGGCAGAGAGGTTTTAACGAATTGTTTTTTTTTTTGTAAAGGTGACAAATACTAAGACCAACTAATTGACAGAATTCTAAGAAAAACAATATTTTTTTTTTAAACTTTTTTAATTTTCTTAGAAAGAAAATTCAAAACATTTTTAACCACTACTTGTATCCTGGGCAGCATATAGCAAAAAAAATAAATTTTTTTATCTTTTTGTATCTTTCTTCCTAACCTGTTATTTTGATAACAACGACAAGGAAGTCTCTACAACTTTACAGACAGTCTTTCTATTAAAAACATAAATTAATCGTGCAGTTCTCGTAAACTTTAGCTGAATAAAAATTTATGCACAAACTAAATCCAGGGTCCATCAATTTTTTGATCCATTAAATAAAATATTTTTGAACAAAAGAAATTTTTTGCTTCCTCTGATCTTCCTCTGTAAATAAAAAATTCTCTAAACTTGTAAGTAAATAAAAAAGAAAAATTCTCTAAACTTGTAAGTAAATAAAAAAGAAAAATTCTC